CTTCTCCCCTTGTCCTATGCAGAAGGCTCTAACCAGGCAAATATGAGTGTAAGTAAGTAAAGTGGAGATGGAACTGAAGGCAAGGCAGGTAGGTAAGGAAGTTGAAGGAATGTGAACAACTTATTCCAGTAGAACATACCTCCTCTCTCCAGAAACGCTATGGAGCACACACATACAACATATTGTTAAATAAATTAGAAATGGGTTTTCATAATCTACACAAGAAATGGTTCTTGTAGTCATATACTATATTATGCTGCAAGTGAATGTGGTCTGTCCCTTCTACCGCCCAGAGCACTGTGTGTTTCTTAGATTTGCTACATTACACTTTACTATTATGTTGTAAATCTAACATTCCCTCACAGACCCTGCAGTCTCTGAAGACAGAAAACTTACTAGTATTGAAATTCTACCATTATGGCAAAGCCTGTTTAGTAGGCAAGCAATAGATAATACATCTTTATTATAAATGTTGTATATAATTTCTATAAAAGTAGAAAAAGCAGAGCAGGAAGTTAGCACAGCAGAGGTTAATTTACAACGGTCTAAAAATCACCCCTTGAGTTAGATGACGATCATATTATACCAACCACACAAAGCTTGTTCTATGCTATGTATTTTTTTGAATTTATGAAGTCACACTCTGGGTGGTCTGGCAAGAATTCTGATTATTCTATTGGGTTGTCGGAAAAGTCATGACGTATTTTTTCTGTTTTTTGTTGCAAAAATGCGTCATAACTTTTCCAACAACACAATATTACACTAAAATTTTGGTACAAATAATTTAGCTGCATTTTTTAGAACTCCAGATAAATTTAAGTAGTTAGTAGGTAGCTCCTGACAGGCTAAGACACTTTATCTGTGCTAAAACAGTTCCAAAAGTTTTTAACAGGTTTTCATCTGGGCAGCTTTTGCTAACTCTCCTCCTTGCCCTGTTTATACAGACACATTTTTTTGGGAACCACTGTGGGAGAGCCCATCGTTGCTGATGGGAATATGTTTTTCAGATGTGAGCTGTGGTGGTGTGGTTAAAATAAGAGGGGTGAAAATCACTCTCCTCAAAACCCATGTTGACAGTTCTTCACCAGTTGTGGGTGCACGCAAACATCAAAATTTTTACAAGAAGCATCACTGTAAACCATATACCTTACTTGAAGGCCATTCTCTAAGGCAGAGATTAACTGTGGCAGTAGTGATCTATAGTAACGGCGAACATGTACTGAGTGCTTACTATGTTTCAGGCACTGTTCTAGCAGTTAACATGTATTAATTCATGTAATCTTCGTAGCAATTCTATGAGCTAGTTATTCCCATGTTAGTTGAGGCAATAGGCACAGAGAAGTTAAGGATTTTGTGTGAGATCACACAGGCGGTAAACGATAGTCAAGATTCCAAGCCAGCTGAGTGACTCCAAAATCAGTCTTGACTACCATGATATATACCACAGCCACACACCCAGGGAAAGCTTGCTGCAGCCAACCTAAGAAAAGCAGGTTCTGGTTCTAATCACTGACTCAGGTTTCTATCAAGTGCACAGACAAGAGAAAGCAGCTGGCTGGTTGTAAAGCTTACTCTTGCTCTGAAAGGCTATGAAGGTGAAAATTGAGGGCTGTAAAAAAAGTTGATTTTCTAAACCACATGGATATCACCCAAATTAAGTGGTCCAAAAAATGTACCCCCATATTTGTAGATACCAATGAAATATTTCTACTAAGATGGAAAGGCTAAAATTAAACTGAGAGCTCAACATTTACAAAATTTCTTAATATAAAATCTAGAAATCATGTTGACTTAATGATTAGAAAAATGTAACAGGCAAATCATTAAAGCCTCATTACCATCTTTCACAGAAGCTCACAGTGCTACAAGTAATCTAACATGTTTACAACAATTAACTTTTCCTTACAAAATTCTTGAGAACAGTTAGGAATGCTTTACCCCATAACTAAAAACACATTAATGTGCCACTTCTATTAAAGGAACTTCCGGAAATGAATAACAACAGTAGCACTTACCATGTACTAGAAACTGTTCTCAGAGGTTTACATGTGTATTAATAATCCACTTAATCTTGATCCTCAAAACGATCTAGTGAGGTCGGTATTACTATTATTTATAACGTACAAGAGGAAACTCAGGTTGTGTAAGAGGTGAAGTAACTTGCTCAAGGTCACACAAATAAATGGTGGTGCTGGGATTCAAATCCAGGTATACTGGCTGTGTAGCGTATCAGCTCTCAGACACTAAACTGAGTATCAAAATGCAGAGAAGATACTTTTCCTGTAAAACATATTTTATTGAGCAAAACCTAACCATGGCAAAAATGGAATGAGGTAAAGATGGCAAAAGAGAAACTTCCATGCAAGCATTTCTCATGTATTTTGTTATATCATTCAAATGTTCAATATAAAAATAACTTACATAATTTAAAATTATTTGTACTTTAATTTCAATTTTCCTTATACTCAAATCAGTAATATTTTTCCTTTAAATATTTTTTTAAACAAGGGCTTAATGAAGTAAACATGAACATTTTCTAATTTTCTTTTTACCCAAAGTTAACTCTTGGCCATAACTTAAAAAAGCAACAAAGCATTTTTAAAATAGTTGTCTTTTTCTTATCTGATGTCTACTAAGCTTCTAAAGGAACTTAAAATTTTTTTTTTCTGATCCTAATGGCTTCTACATTAGCTTCAAATAAAACAATTTTGAGCTTATTCTATTGGGTTGTCGGAAAAGTCATGATGTATTTTTCCTGTTTTTCATTGCAAAAATGCATCGTGACTTTTCCGACAACCCAACAGTCTTAGGCCTAAAAGACTGCCAAGTGAGTCTTCACCAACCACGTGTGTATCCTAGGTATCAAATACTAACGTATGAGTTCTTCACCTCTAGACAAGAGTGCACAGATCAGCAAGATCTGGCTCTCTGAACAGTTTTAGAATTGCAGCAATTAAAAAATCTGAACCCGTCACACTGTTTAAAGGACTTATTTTGTCTGTCATTTTAGGATGTTTCTGGGAGACTGTGGCAGCAAAGCCTATGGCAGCGAAGCCTGCATGTAATTGCCTTAACAAGCACTTAGAGTAGTGCTCCCAGAGAAGCCACTACTTCTAAAGGGGATGTTTTGGAAATGTGAGCTTTCGCTGGATGGTACAAAGATTGATGGCACGACTGGCAATTTGGTGGGTGGGAGCCAGGGAAGTTCAATGTCTTGCAACGTACGGGACAATCTCACATGATGAAACAGAGTTCAGCATCTGGTGTGACTTTTGAATGTCCATTGATACAGTAGAAAAAGCAGGTTATGATTATCTGAACCTAGAACCTAACTTCTTTTTACATATAAACACGAAGTACTTTTTTTGCAATAGCTTTAAAATACATTAGTTTCCAAATATGCAACTAACATATAAATCAAGATTGTACAGTTTTGTTCAGGACTCTACTACGCATGATCCACCATTTTAGGGGGAAAAAGTCTTATCATCAATGGAAATTCTCATGTTTCTGAGTCACAACGGTCTACATATAGGGTTCACACACACATCCACCTACTTCACTGTCTCCTGAGGTGATTATGCCCACGCATTTACATACTGAAATACAAATGAATTATAAATTACTTTCCTCTTATTTCTATTCCATACTACAATTATTATTATGTACATTTTAATTACGTGTGAAGTTTAGTTCCACATCAGGATAGTAAAGGGGGCATTTTTTATAAAAAAGATGGTAATGGGTTTGATAGGGACAGATTGACTTAGATAGATGTCAGCTATGATACAAGAATGCAACTTGCATAAATGAAAATTAAATAGCTAAAGATGACAAATGTGTTTTCAATATACTAGTAAAATTCAGCATTGTTTGATCAAATGGAAAGACAAACCTGTTCAATGCTTAACTTTTACAGTTGAGACTCACAATTAAAATGGCACAGCACATCCTTTCTGATGAAACAATGTATACTAAACCTTCAGATGGTTATGCAGGTGAGCTGTTACTATCCCAGGATGGGCAGGGTCAGTGCTGCTTTGTCCCACCCAGTCCCTCTTCCTCTTCTACTCTCAGATGCTGATGTGTAATAGACACAGAGCTTTGTTAGGTGGTGAGCCTGCAATTTTACTATGTGGAAAATCAATTTATTACCACCATCCTCTACATTTCATTTACATTGTCATACTGACTAAAATAACTCAACATTCTTAAAATTTCTCTCTTCACTTCAAAGCCAAATATTTGGTTCACTTTTTATAACCTTTTAAAAAAAGGTCAAAGAGCTGCTAAAATAGTGCACTGCACATGACTAACATTCAAATAGTCAAATATACTTATATATTAACTAATTTTTTCAGTAGTTGTGAAAAAATAAAGCAAATTTCCAGAGAAATCTGATTAATAGTCAATGTGAACGCATACAGAATTCTAATTTTTTATTATAGAGAGGGTGCCAAAAAAATATATACACATTATAAGAAAAAAACTACTAAAATTGTAATACTCAATATATACCAATAACAAAAGATGAATACAAGTCACGTTGGACTTCTGCAATTAAAGGAGGTGCTCAAAGTGATTACCATCAGTGTCCAGACACTTCTGATTATGGCAAATTACTGCTTGAGCAATGCTGGCCAAAGTGTCCACTTGTATCCATTTTTTTGGTACCCCTGGTATTTTTAACATTATTTTATGTATCCACATTCCTTAGATTTTTAAATAAAGATTTAGATTGGCAATCTCTGAAACTACAGAAACGAATGGTTAAGATTTAAAGATTTGGGTTTTCAAAATTCTTAGCAGTAGCCTCTCTTATAGAAAGATTCAAAATGAACTTGTGGTTCATAAATTGTTACAAGATTACCTCCACTAAATGTGAATGAATTGGATAAGATTTAAGTATTTTTTTACATTTATGTTTCCAGGTAATAAACTTTAAATTTTCTTATTACCAAATGAAAGACTATATAAATTTTTCAAATTAAATGAAAGCATTCACTTGACAAATTAGTTTATTAACATTAAATTTAAGGTTGTGCATAAAACTACAATAATGACAATTCAAATGAAGTAAACAGAATAGGCCATTTATTAAAACACTGTATAATAAAATAAACTTTTTGATCCAATGCTATAGTGGTAAACATTTTCCCTCATTAACATTCCACCTAAAACACAGTTAAAGTACAACATAATCTGACCAGAACTTGAAAATACTTCTGTCCTTTACTACTCAATGACAATGAGGTGAGTGCAGGTCTAGGCTGTCTCGAGTCAAAAATGATAACCTAAGACAAATGAAATCCCATATGCTCAAAGGCTGACTTTTACTTTACCCTGGCTCACTAGTCCCAACTTAAAATTCTTGTCTATCGAATAAATATTTCATGACTCACTCCATTCCTTGAGGAAAATAAATATTAGGAACAAATTAAGGATAAGAGCTGGGTTTTAAACTGCACTTTGTTACTATAACATTGTCTTTTTTTTTAACTGATCAACCGTATGCATGCAAAAATGTAGAACTGCTTCCACAGCCCCTTGGATATCAAAAAGTAAATTATAAAGGTCAATCTGTAGTTCTCTCCTCCTTTATAGCACTTCTAAGCAGTGTGTGTGACACATACCACAGAGGTAGGAAAGACCATCTTTAATAAATTATCTTCTTAATTGCAGCGAATTTCTGAACATAAAACTAACAAAACGCTAAACCATGCATGCCTTTGTGAGTCCCCAAAGACCAAAGATCCATCTCCTCCTATTTGAAGAATTAGTTCCCTTGAGTCCTAACCTCTGTAGGGCACCTGATAATGAGATCCACCAGGGCTCCGGACAACTGCACTAAAAAAGCCTTCCACCACTATCATTTGCCGATTCTTTGGACCACCCAGTCTTGCTGGCAGAGGGGGCAGCGATTGTTCTGTTTCACCCACAGGGACATGCAGCAGTTGTGGAAGGAGTGATTACATTCTCCCCAGACCACTAAAAGAAAAAGAGATTTGGCATTATGTATTTCAATTTAAATTACTGAGCTTAAATATGTATGAAGCTTATTTTATATTATGAATAATAAATATGGTTCATGATCTTGAATGAAGATGATTAATTGATCAAGAAATTTTTTTCTATCTATAAAGAAATACACTTATACTTACATGTGTTATTTACACTTAAGAAGAGAAGGAACTGTGGCTGGGGGACTTGCCATCACTGTTCTAGAATCAGTGGATTATATGGTGGCCCCCATTCCCACACAGCTCCACAGGCTATCTTCCTGAAGTTAGAAGATAAAAAGACTTGAGCCTTCCTTAGATCTCAGAATTTTTCAGTCATGCACTGACCTTAGAGACCTTTGGAGCTTTATTTTATTGAAAAATGTCCTCCGGATTTTAATTTACCGAGATATGAGTTTTAAATGTTTTCAGTTCACAGTAGGCTACTATGAATAGATGACATGTTTCTAAATATTATCAGCTGTACATCTACTGAGTTGTTTTCTAGAAGTGGTGATGAATTGTGTTAAGTCATCCATAAGCAGTAACTCCTCATGTGACAAACAATGAAATTTTCAAAGTGGCTGGCTGGAAAAAGAAGTCTCTTTGTGATCAAAGAAAGCCGGCTTACACCTCATAATTCCCAAATTAATATTATTTAAACAGCATGAACAAAAAATTTTAAACCCAGGGAAATCATCCACAATCTGGAATACAATCTCAAATGCGTCTTTCATTTGTCCCTTGCTTGACCAACTGAGCTATATGATAACAGAACAATGAAAGACATAGGAAAAAAAGAGAAAAGAAAAAAACTTATGAAAATTGACTGTAGGGGACAGGAAGCAAGGGGGAATAGTTCTAATGTTTCAGGAGGAAGAAACAGGATTTGATCAAAACTACATAAATCATTATTAGGAAGCTGTATGTAAATTACAAAAAACGCAAAGTACAAAGTTAACTGTTCATTCTAGGAAAATGTTTAAACACTTTCATATAGCAATCTAGAAGTGATGACTTTAAGAAGTAAGACATAAAAACCTTTGAACTGCTTAAAACATTTAGCCTAAGAGAATCTTGGTAGTCCCAGACTATAAGGAAAATTTAATACATTTCTATATACAAACTACATTCTCAAAAGATCTTGAGACTTAGCATTTTTTCTACCTTAGTTAAAAAGTTAAATACTATATCATAAAAGAATCTTGAAAACCGAAATGCTTTGTTAGAATAAAGCCCTGCCAAAACTGATGTATAAACATATAAACATAGTCAAAATTTAAATGATGTTTTGGCAAATTCCTTATTGTAGAATTTTCTTAATAGAAGAGAATTATTATTTTTTTGATTATCAAAATGTTCCATGTCTGGAACATATACCCAATTCTTCTTAATTACAGACAATAAAAGAACTTGCAGATTAATTCCATTAAGCCCTTTTGAGAACCAACACATTTTATATTAATAATGGATCACTGCTTTACAGTTTATTTTTGTGTATTGATAAAGTCAATCTTAATAGCAAATTCAAACATCCCCACTGAGAGAAAACCTTCAGTTGAAAAAGCAAGAGAACGAAATGACAACATACCAACACAATCCTCTTGTTTGTTTTCAGCTTGACATCTAAGACAGGCATCTAAAAGCAAACAAATAGCAATTCTCATTCTGATGCTCAGAATGCAATTTTTTAAACCCAGACACTTTAAAGTCAAATAAAAGCCAAAAGGGTTAGAGATGGAGCTAACACACTCATACCATTAATTTCTCATCTGAACATAACTGTTTAAAGGCGAATAAAGTACAAGGCACTCTACTAATTTACTCACAACCTAGAGGAATTTCACAAGAGTTACCAAGCCTGTTTTTACAAGCTCTAATGAAAAGATGTTCTGACAGTGGATGCAACCACTAGAGAAAAATATGCTATATTCCACTCTATTAGAATATAAGTTCACTGGGCATGCTCACTGAGATCAACCTTAGGGACAGTTTATTTTCAAGATACCCTCTTAAATAAGCCGTGCGTGTGTGTGTGTGTGTGTGTGTGTGTGTGTGTGTGTGTGTATGTGTATATATATATATATATATAATATATATATATATATAATATATATATATTGGTATTTGCTTGTACATACATACAGAAACTCTAGAAGGATGCCCAAAAAACTAATAATAAAGTTTACCTGGGAGGGGCTAGAATGGGAAGGAGTTTTCATTGTACAGTCTCTTAAATTTTTGAATTATGTGACTGTATAATCTATATAGGAAATCAAATTATAATTAATTTAATTAATTAAAAATACTTTCTAAATAGGAGGTTCTCCTTTTTTTCTTTTAAGAAAATGCTCCCTTTATAAATAAGTCTGAGCCCAAAACATTTACCCAACAAAGGCAAAGTATTTTAACAAATTACTTGGGAGTAAATACTAGGAATGGGAACCTAAAGGGTATAATTAGAAATTTTCAAAATTCACTCTGTACTATTTGCTTGATGAAGGAGGTAATATAGAATATTCTAGGGACTAATGAATGGATTTATTCATTAGCTGGAAGAGGAGACTAAGTTGGGTAAAAGGAAGTTCAAACCAACAGAAAAAGTTTTTAGCATAAACTGGAGAAAATAATTCTGTAAAAATAGACACAGAGCAGAGCTGAAGCCTGCTTCTCTTCTTACACTGGATTATGCGCAGGCCATTTGTTTGCTTCTCTCTGCATGCCTTTACCCTAAAAAAACACACCACCCAGACCTCTTCAGTGTGGATTAAAAACAACCACTGCCTCCTAAGACTTTCTTCAGTTCCACAATTACTGAGGATCTACTCTGTGCAAGGAGCTATGCACTGGGGCATGACACTAAAATGACCACGTCTGGGTCCCTGGTCTCACACTGCCATCTGCTCATTTCGGAATGAAGGGAGGAGAGTGGAAACCAAGGAGGAGAGTGTTAACAAAATCCGAATGAGGAGACAAGCAAATCTTGGGTCAAGAAGTCATAATTAAACATTTAGGCATATGAGATGAATTTCAAATATTAAGGAAATGGGTTAAGTGGGCTCTTTTTGTAGAATCTAGAAATCTCTGATTTATGCTTATAGCTTTGATTTAGACGATCAAAAACTGACCTAAATCGATAAAAATTCCCAAAGTTTCAGATAAAAGAAAAAAGCATCTAAAAGAGTACATTTCTAAGGAGTACAATAACAGTAACATCTTTTAGAGTAATGCTAGAATAAGGATTGGGAAGTCTGAAAAACTTCCTTCTGCTGTCACCTGACCACTAAGTGGATTTTTAACACCTCATAAACAAAATACAAAGTTCTAGTTTATAATACTTTTCTAAATTCATAGTATAGCTGTTGTAAACCTGCAACATTAATCCACAGTAGCAGAATACTTGCTATAATTAGAAGGTTAATGTGAATGAGAGCCATTTATAGCCACTACTTTGACTTACTTTAAATATCCCAGTTAAACATTTATTTGCTGCAACATTTCAACCATTACTTTAACTCTGCATTTCTACTTACTGGTTTAAATTTTTTCTTTTGGGGGAAAAAATAAAATGCCCACTTAGGAACATTCTTTTAAACCAAAGGAAATTTAGGGGACAAAATTTTTAGCAAAGCCTGTCTTGCAAAAGAACAAAAAGTTAAGTCACTCGTGTAAGTTAAAAATGTCACCTAACTGGAAATTATGATTCTAATTCCTAAGTAATGGGTGGGGTATGGGATAAGGGGGCTGTACTGCAGGCCAATAAACAAGGTGTGTTTAAAACCTAACACGCAAAATATTGGGTTGTCGGAAAAGTCATGATGCAGTTTTGCAACGAAAAACAGAAAAAATATGTCATAACTTTTCTGACAACTCAATAAGTGGATCATGTCTGAAATCAAGCTCTTTTAAAACTAAGAAACAAACAACACCTGAGTTCCACTGCCATAAATCCTCTTTGAAACAAGTCCTTATGAATGAAAAACAAGACAGCACACTAAGGAGAGTATAAATTGAGAAAGCTCTTGATTCTGGTAAATTTAAAGTTTTATCCCTCAAGAAGGAAGAGCAATTCTGTTTATTTTCTCCACTTCTCTCATTTTTCAGTGCAAGACACTTTTCAAACTATAGAAACCTCACTTTTCTTCATCTAGCCTCAAGAAGCAACATTTAAGATGCTCTCACAGTAGTTTTAAATGCCCTGCTTAAAAATACAACTTGCGTTTAAAGAGCGCCTCTTTTTCAAAGTGGTCTGAGATCTTACAACAAACCATATAAAACAAAACGGGATGTAGCTGCTCTGAGAGGTTTCACTTGGTTCGATGTTTTTATTCAAAATATCATAAAAAAGAAGTAAGATATTTGTAAAAGCGGGTTCTCCACAAAGGCCTGACTCGGAGCAGGGCAGTTATCTTCTCCAGGAAATGGCATCCGATGACAGGGAGGGGCCAGGAAGGGGATGAAATTTTGTTTCTGAGTCAAGAGCTCACATTATTCAATTCCCACGAAACTCAAATATTTTTTAAGCACCTTGTATCTCCTTCAAGCCAAGCGAGTGCTGTCTGACCCGTCTTGAATCATCCAGATTTAAAGGCCAGCAGCAGCACAGCCGTAGCTAATCCAGAAAGGAATGCAATGGCTGGGAACCCTTTTCTTTCCTGCATCTCTCAAAAGCAGAACTGAGGGTGTCGTTTTTGGGGAAGATGACCGGAGCATCACTTTGGTGTGTGACCAGAACCACGAAAGCGCTCTGTTGAATCAGGGCCTTTCACCTGACCCCTTTGCAGTTTGCTTTTAGAGCCGGGGATGGGACTGGCTACACATACCGAAGTGGTCCTTCCCCGCAAACCACCCAGTTGTATTTTCTTAGTCGGTCACACCCATCGCTACCTGAAAATAATCTTGTTTAATTCCTCTGTTTACTGCCTGTTTCTCTCCCTAAAATCCAGCCCAGGCACAGTGCATCTATAGGACGACCCCACCGCCACTGCACGGGACTGGCCCCCTCTTCTCCCCGCTCCGGGGCAGGGCGACCCCCACCCCCACGCCTCCAGGCAAAGGTCTCTCGGAGCCTCCGCTCGTCCCCTCTCTCGACCTCGGCCCCGCGAAGGCCGTAGCGCAGCCCGGGCCTCGCGTGCAGCGCTTACCCATCACCTGGACCCTGCAGATGGCGCACGTATCGCACTCCACGTCCCAGCTCCACATGGCCACCGCGTTCCACTTCTTGAGAGAGAACATTTTGTCGCCCCCCGACTTGGAGCCTGCGCCCCCGGAGTGAGAGGACAGGGCGCAGGGTTCCTCGCCGTCTTCCACGTCGGCCATGGCTACGGCGCGGAGCCGGCAGCGGAGACGTTGGGTATCGGGAGGCGGGCGGCTATGGCGGCTCTGTGGGGCCGCCCGACGGGCCACAGCGCCGCCCGCAGG